ACTACACAACTGGTTCTCATGCCTTCATATGGGCACCAAGGCTTGCTTCCACTATCTGGCCCACGGTGTAAGGCTTTCAGGCTTGGATTAGGGCTTCTATGGTCAGCCTTTGGATTTGGGCTGGAACTATTCTACTGGCTTTTCTGGGTCTCTAGCTTATAGTCCACAAGACTCTGGGACTTCTTAGCATCCATAATCAATTGAGCCAATTTCTTTATATACTTTTATGTATTCTATTAGTTCTGTTTCTCTAGAGAACTCTTTTTTTTTTTTTTTTTTTTTTTGAGACAAGGTTTTTCTGTGTAGCCCTGCTGTTCTGGAATTCACTCTGTAGACCAGGCTGGCTTTGAACTCAGAGATCCATTTGCCTCTGCCTCCCAACTGCTGAGATTAAAAGCATGCTCCACCACACTCAGCTAGAATAGCTGACTCTTACCATGTTAATTCTAGTCAGACACTTATCTCAGAGTGTTGTCATGAAAATGTAAGCTCACTTTTAAGTTACAGAAGAAAACATGAAAATACAGACTATATGATTTGAGGATGTCAATATCCTTCATTCAAAAAGGTCTATTTAGCATTTACTAAATGATATGCATCTAAAAATGAACTAATTTTTTACAATAATCAAAGAACTTTTGCTGCAATTATCAAATAATCATTAAACTCAAATTCCTAATTTTGTGGGTATATTCTTTTTTCAATTAGTGGTTTTAAATGAAAGGATATATGCATATCGTAAAAAGAACCTTAGTAATTCAATTATAAGTAAGAGCCTCTCTGCTGAATGGCATCTGTGTGGTGCTCCTTGTGCTGCCTGCCAATGAAACTATAAACAATGTTTTATTATGTTGGCTTTCAGGATGCTGTTCAGTTTTAGAGATGTTAATATGAAAAAATATGCATCATAATTTATGAAATGGGGTATATAATTTTTCACTTATTGTATGGTTTTCAGAATTTAATTTTGGTATTTATAATTCTAAAATATAAGAAGTACAATTAGAGAATCATTCCAAATCCACTGTTATGCATACTGGCTGCAGGGCAGCTACAGTTTTAAATTTGGGATAGACTTGAAGGAAGTAAATTCATCATGCAGATTTCTGGGAGACTCTGTAAGAGGAAGCCGCCTGCAGAAAGGCCTGAGATTCCAACATGTCTGGCATGTATAGTAACAGCAAGAAGCTCAAATAGCCAAGGAGTTGGAGAAGAAGCATTAGGCGATGAGGTCTGAGGGAAGAAGCAGGTCAAACACTGTACAACTTCCATGTTTTAGATGGGAAATCACATGAGCTCAGCTACAAGTTGATATGATCTAGATTTCAAAAAGATCACTCTGGATATTAGATTGGAAATGCACACTAGAAAAATGTCTTAGTCACTGTTCTATTGCTGTGAAGAGATACCATGACCAAGGCAACTCTTACAAAACAAAGCATTTAATTGGGGGCTTGCTCACAGTTTCAGAGAGTTAGTCCATGATCATAGCAGAGAGCAGACAGACATGGCGCTGCAGCTGAGAGCTTTATGCTGTGATCCACAGGCAGAGTGAGACACTGGGCCTAGTGTACCTCCAGTGACACACCTCCTCCACCAAAGCACATAAATATATGAGCCTACTGGGGGTGGGGTGGGGGCATTCTCATTTAAACCACAAGGGCAAAGGTGAAAACCAGGTGAGTCATTAAGAATAGTTATCTAGAAAAAGGCTAGAGGTGATGGTGGCTGGTGTCAGAGTGAAAAGAAATAGCCAGATTCAAGATACATATTTGAATCAAAAAGATTCCCTGACTGAATGGATATGAGATGTGGAAGAGAGGAGCCAAGGATGACTCTAAGACTTCTTTTGTTCCCCCCTCATGTGTATGCATGTATGTGGACACGTATGTGTAAGGGTGCATGTGTGTGCATGTGGAGGCCTAAAGTTGATGTCAGAGGCCTTCCTCAACCACTCTCCAACTTGTTCACTGAGGCAGGGTCTTTCATCAGAACCCAGAGTGCAATGACGTCATAAATCAGGCCAGCCAGCTTGCACTGTGGATCCCATCTCCCTCTCCTTGGGTTACATGTGAGCTGCCACACCTGGCTTTTACCCACGTGCTGGGGAGTCTCGACTCTAGTCCAAATGCTTGAATGACAAAGGCTACCACTGGCTATTTCCCAGCATCTCTGAGGTTTCTTACCTGGAAACTGGCAGGGTGGGCACTGCACTGATAGCAGGAGGGAGGATGACATGTAGGTATTTAGGGAAGGCCACAGTTCGGTGGTAGAGACGACTACTGGGGTACTAGTGCAGCTATGCCACCATCAGATACAGTCATCCAAAATTAATACCTTGTCTTTGTCTGGAATCTGCCACCCTAAGTAAAGCAGTTGGATCCTAGAGGTTTTAAGAGTAATGACACATTGCTCTTCAAATTGGATGCAAGGACTTGTGTGTTAATTTCCCTATAACCTCACTGATTTTTTTTCAAGACAGGGTTTCTCTGTGTAGTTTTGGTGCCTGTCCTGGATCTTGCTCTGTAGACCAGGCTGGCCTCGAACTCACCAAGATCCTCCTGCCTCTGCCTCCTGAGTACTGGGACTAAAGGCGTGCGCCACCACCGCCCAGCTAACCTCACTGATTTTTAAAAACTCTTTTGGTTATATTTAGTAATACATTAATTATTTAGTAATTTAGCAATAAATTACTAAATACAATACTCTGTTTTAAGATCAAAGCCATCATTTCTTTTCGTTAGCTAAACAAGACCTAAAGTGAATAAGTCAAATGCTAACATCTAAATGCTTTTGCTAAGTAGCAGGAGCTTTTTTTTTGACTTTTTGAGACAGGGTCTCTCTATGAAACCCTGACTATCTGGAACTTGCAATGTAGACTGTAGACTAGGCTGTGTAGATTGCTATGTTGATCCATTTGCCTCTGCCTCCTAAATCGTGGGATTAAAGGCATGTGCCACCATACCCCGCCTGCATATTTATTTTAAAGTATTAAGTATTTCTTTCTAAATGAGTTCTCCTTCAAAACAGCAACAACAAAAACTAAAATTAAATTCTTGGCCAAGCTACCAAATAAAATGTCTTCTCCAAAGGAGCCAGTGCTCTAATCAAACCAGACATGAAAGCAATGCCTGGAGCTAGGGATGGACCTCAGTGGAGAGTGCCTCTGGCCTGCCTTCCTTCTCCAGCAATGCCTCAGTGCGGTGATATTTTGTTTGTAATTTAACAAATAAAGCTTACCTGAAGGTCAGAGTGGGGAGCTAAGCCACTAGTTAGCCACAGAGACCAGGCAGTGGTGGCACACACCTTTGATCCCAGCCCTTGGGATCTCACACCTTTAATCCCAGCACTAGGGAGGTGGAGACAGGAAGTGATATGGCTGGGTGGAGAGAGGAATATAAGACAGGAGGAGACAGGAGCTCAGTTCCCTCTCAGGCTGAGGATTCCCAGAGGTAAGAAGTCTCTCTAGTGGCCGGCTGCTCTGCTTCTCTGATCTTTCAGCTTTCACCCTGATATCTGACTCCAGGTTTTTATTATTAAGACCAATTAGGATTTGTGCTACACCTCAGTCTTCACTATCGCTCATGCCATTATGCTTAAAGTTTCAGTTTTTCTCAAGATTTAAACAATTAAAATGTAAGCTAAGCCGGGCGGTGGTGGCGGCGCACGCCTTTAATCCCAGCACTTGGGAGGCAGAGGCAGGCGGATCTCAGTGAGTTCGAGGTCAGCCTGGTCTCCAAAATGAGTTCCAGGAAAGGCGCAAAACTACACAGGGAAACCTGTTTCGAAAAAAACAAAAAAAAAAAGTAAGCTAATTCTGAACAAAAGGATCATCATCTCTAACACATTGTCCCATTTTGGAATAAAGCAGACCTTTATTTATATCAAGTACAGGGGTTATTTTTGCTTTTATTCTTGTGAACATTCTACTCAGCAATTAAAACTTAATCATGTTACCAGGTGTGGTGGCACATATATTTAATCCCAGCACTCCAGAGGCAGAGGCAAAAACTATATGACTTTGTAACTTCCAGACATCTTACCCTTTTGGGGGCTTAGTTTCCCTTGTAATTTCTTCACATTATAAAAGAGAAAAGAGGTCTAACTCCATCAGTTTATATTACACACACACACACACACACACACACGTTGCATTTTGAAACTTTGATTCTAATCAGAAATATCTCACCCTTGTTTAAATTAAAAAAAAAAATAACCAAATGAATGAAAAACCTAAACTAAAACAGCTGTTCTTTATCCTCAAATGGTACCTTTTGAGGTATCCTACAATGAAGCGCAGTCAGGCTATGGCTGACAGAGCCTCTTCCTGTGTATATAGTAAGCATTCACTACTTAAATAAAATATACAACACTTGCTAGGCATGGGAAAACAAACAAAAACAAACAAACACAAAAAAATTAAAAACAAATAAAAATTATAGGTGCAATATACCTAAGTTATCAAGAAAAACATTTAGAAATACTACAAAGATTAATGATTTTGGAAAAGTTTTTGTTTCTATTAATCTACGTCTATTCAGTCCCTGTGAGTACATTTATCCTTGGTGCTTATTCTTCATAGCACTGTTACTCAAGAGTGTCAGGCAACTCAATAATCACAGTTCCATGGAACACTGGTTTTAGAAATCTTTATCATCGGTGAAAATAACTACTTTAAATGAATTTTCATTTCTTATAAACATGAACCATGTCATGCTGGGCGGCGGTGGTGTATACCTTTAATCCCAGCACTCGGGAGGCAGAGCCAGGTGGATTTCTGTGAGTTCGAGGCCAGCCTGGTCTGCAGAGCGAGATCCAGGACAGGCACCAAAACTACACAGAGAAACCCTGTCTCAAAAAAACAACAAAAACCAAAACAAAACAAAACAAAAAACCATGAACCATGTCAATATTTCCACTGTCTGGTTAAGTTAAATATTACAACACTCAAAGTGTCCTGAGGTAGTTCTGTTAGACACACACTGAGTTACAATACTGACCTGTAATGAACATGAGTGACTGTTGGTTTCCTGTATCCAAGGATCCAGGTCTGAATATCTATTGGTTCAGCTTTGGGATAAGCTATGGTTGTATCTATTATCCATTGGAGGCCTCTTGATTTGCATTCTGAAAATAAAAGAAGAGTGACTTGAGTTGGGTGAGGTTTTCTGTACCTGCAGTACAGAACTCACTAAGCAGCTGGAGCTTCCTAATGTGCCTTTGCTTTGAGATAAAAGGTGGATTTGTTCCTGCTGTTCTACAGTGCACTTAGTATACAATTAAGGCGCTCTTACTATAAAGCAGATTACTTCAAAACAAATAATAGAACACTATTATTTATTAAACATACCTCATTCAACTCTTAAGTAAATTATGCACTAGCAAGGTCTTATATATTATCACTCCTACACAAAACAGTCTACAAAAGGTCAGAAGGTAAAGCATACATCATAAAAATGAAAAGCGGACTTCAAAACCAAATCAATAAATGTAAACAAAAGTCATGATTTATAACATCAATACTTAGGGGACATTAACAAATACAGAAAAATGGAAATGAAATCAAGCATTTTAGACATACATTATTATTGGTTACTCTTCTTATTTGAGGAAAAAAAGCTTCCTCAATTTTAGCAAGAGTTCCGTAAAAACTAAGTCCTTCAGAAGGAACAATCAGTAGCCACAGTTGGGAGAGGAGATGAGAAAGTTCTGCTTCATCTGGTCCTTCACACACTGTGTTTGTTCTCATCAATGAATACAAAGCTGAGCAAGAAAGGAGGGATTCTCACAGAGAGCACTGGCTTTCAGGGTTTTAAAGTGTAATTATCTGTTCTATGAGTGAAGTATTAGAGCATCTTCCAGCCTAAGTCTAAATCATATTACTTGTCAGTAAATATTAATTTTCCTTCTTAGAAATTAAAACCAGCTGTAAATCCTTAAGATTTTAGAGCAACATTCTGAAGGAGGGATAATTTGTAAGAATGAACAATTTTTCTCTGAGCATGGTGACACATGCCTGTAACCCCAGCACAGGAGACTGTGCCAGGGCAGGAGGGTGAGCCTCCTGTTCAAGGCTAGCTGGGTTACATAACTTTGCCTCAAAAACCAAATCAAACCAAAGCAAAGCCAAAACCAATCCAAACAAAATCAACAAACGGACAGAGAAGGGCAGAGGGAGATGCGGCAGGGCAAATGTGGTAAAAATTCAGAGTACAACTGGCATCTCATGGACAGTTACTATAAATTCTTTGAACTTAATGTTTAGAAAGTTTCATGATGAAAGGAAGTGTAAAAAGCCCAGCAGAATTCAGTTCAGGGTGAGTTATCACATAATAAACCAGCAGAAGATCCCGACACTTTTAAGGTAATCAGGCAGAAAAGAATTCTGACGTGTGCCTGGTGCATACATTAAATAAAGGTAGGGTTTATGTTCGCAGAGAATAAATTACTAATGAATATGAACACCAAAGAAAACCACAGAAAATAACAAAACAAGAAAATAGTGAAATACTTTTCAGGTATTGTGATGACTTAAAATTTAAATATACTAACTAAGGATAAATAAACTCCTTTCTTATAAATGGAAACTGTGGCTATCTGAAAGAAAAGTCTCCTTTTTCATTCCCAGGCAGCTGTTAACACAAGTGTCCTTCCTTTGAGATCTAGACCGCCCCTGGGCACTGGCTGTGGACTGCGTGAACAGCAGTCTTTTCGATGGACCACTCCTGCGGGAGACCTCTGCTCCCAGCTTTTTTGGCCTGCCTGACATTGCCGCACTGTCTCTCCAGCAGCGAAGCTACTCTGAACTTTCCTTTTCTATTAAAAGACTCCTTCAATCTGCCTTTGTAATAGATGATGAAAGATTAAGAAAGCTGACTGCCAAGTAGCTGGCTGACAAAAGCAAAGGAAGGAGAAACGCAGTGCAATTTCATGGGCATTATCTCTACATCTGCTCTCTACAGAATCTGAATGTTTCTGAGAGCCAATTATTTCAACATTTATTTAAATAATACTAAAAGAATTAAAAAATGCTACCAAAGAAACTGGCCTTGTGAGTCTCTTTGAACTGTTTATTGAAAGCTTTTGTAGTAGAAGTGGCTTGGATGAAGCTGCTCTTGCTTACTGCAAAAACAGCTTCTGTGAGATTTCACAGCTCGCTGGCCTGTTCCCAGGGAGCTGCATCACGGAGTGCTACTTACTCTTTCTTGGCTATTCAAACAGTATGTGTTCATTATTTTAAAACTCTGGAGAATGAGCCACACTGTTACAGCTCATGGGACAATCCTGTCCTCATTTCCTGCCGTCTGACACTTTAGTCTGGAGCTCACATTATTTTCACAAGACTTGTATACTGTCCCTCCCCCACACACCCAACATAGAATAGGTACTTTGCCAGGCAACCCAAACTGTCCATATGTACCATTTGTGTGGCTATGTCATATGGACACGTGGGAATTTGCTTACCCATTCTCCCTCTGGCTGGTTTATTATAAATAAACCTGTGTCAAGTTTTCATTACCTGTATTCAGATTATAATTATTTCTTTTTGACACAAAGTCTCACTTTGCAACCTAGGCTGACCTAGAATTTACTACGTAGCTTAGACTAGCCTTGAACTCAAGGCAATCTTGCTCCTTCTCCTCAGACTCACCAGTGCTGGAACTACTGGCATGAACCAGCACGCCTGACTTAGATTGTTTCCTTTTGATAATTATCTAGTAGGATGACTGAATCATTTATTAGTACCTTCAGGGTCTTAAATACTGACAAGTTACATTAACTTTGTTGTCTATTAAAAGCAAACAAAACCTTCTAAATTTAGTAACTAAAAAGTAACTTGCATCATTAGTGGTAGAAATCATCCTGTGTAACAGCAGGCAGGAAAGGCATTTTTTTTTTTTTTTTTTTTTTTTTTTGGTTTTTCGAGACAGGGTTTCTCTGTGTAGGTTTGTGCCTTTTCCTGGGACTCACTTGGTAGCCCAGGCTGGCCTCGAACTCACAGAGATCCGCCTGGCTCTGCCTCCCGAGTGCTGGGATTAAAGCCGTGCGCCACCACCGCCCGGCAGGAAAGGCATTTTTGACTACACACTTGCAATTATTTTAGTGCCTTAATGTGAGCATCAACTACTTTAAAGAGAAATATAAAGAGATTATAACTTCATCCTGTCCCGATTGTTAATTCTAATTGTCAAAAGTTATTTAAAAAGAATTGGCCAGGCAGTGGTGGCGCACGTCTTTAATCCCAGCACTCGGGAGGCAGAGGCAGGCAGATCTCTGTAAGTTCGAGGCCAGCCTGGTCTACAGCGCGAGATCCAGGAAAGGTGCAAAGCTACACAGAGAAACCCTGTCTCGAAAAACCAAAAAAAAAAAGAATTGGTCCAGGCATGGTGGTGCAGGATTTTAATCCTAGCACTCAAAAGGCAGAGGCAGGTGGATCTCTGTATTTAAGACCAGCCTGGTTTACATAGTTTCAAGATAGCTCAAGAGGCCCTGTCTCAAATACCAACCAACCAACCAAAAACCCAAAACAAAAACAAAAAAATAGTTGGAACTCCAGAAAACACTTCAGTTAAACAAGGCAAGAAATGCTAAGATACCTACCTAATCCTCTAGCGTCTCCTCCTGCTGGGCTTCCATTTTCCTGCCGTGCTACAAGTGCATTCAGTATAATGTTTGTTGCCCCAAACCTTGGCAAAGTGACATGTGTAAGAAATGGCAAGTTATTTTTCTTGGCAAATGCCTGGCTTGTTTCTCTCCTCTTCCTGAGAAAGCCCCCTTCAGGAAACAAAACAATCCATTTTCGATCTCTGCTCCTATAATTATGTTCTAGGTGCTTCTTGAGAACCAGTAACTGTTGGTCACGATAAGATCTTCCCTAGAAGATACACACACATAATAAGGACAGGTACAGTTGAAATTAAAACACCTCAAGATTAAATAGAAACAACTACTTCAAAACTGAAATCCAACCATAGGATAGAACAGTCGTTTCTCCCAGTTATTTCTCTTTTTGATTGTAGTGGGAAAGGGGAAGGGACTACTCAAACTTATAAAAGAGAACTTCTTTCTGGAGAAAAAGCAACTCACCAGTTTGGAGGCCATATAGTAAATGTCTACTTTTTGCCAACTACAGTCCCAACACCAGACACAGGAGTAAACAGGAGATCACATGGAAAAGTGCTGAGTGTGGAATGTAATGTTTTAGGAAGAAAAGAATAAGAAGGATAGAAAGGATCAGGAGAAGCAAGGGGAGCTGGTGCAAACAAGAAACTAACAGGTAATAAGAGGGAATAAGCCACACAAAGATGAAAGGCAGAATACTCCAAGTGACAAGAGCACAAAAAGACAGAGGCTCAAGGTGGAACACACTTGATATGTTGGGGCCTGGTGTGGGGGCACACATCTTTAATCCCAGCACTGGCAGGCAGAGGCAGATGGATCTGTATGAGTTCAAGACTATCCTGGTTTACCTAGTGAGTTTCAAACCAGGACTACATAGTGAGACCATGCCTTAAAAACAAACAAGGAAGAGCAGTGCCCTAGACAACGTGGAGGAGACCACAGTGGTGGGTGACCAAACTAGAGGAGACCACATAGGAAGGCCTCATGCATGGTAGTGGGTTTTACTGCCTTTTGTTTTTAATTGAAAAAAAGTGTGTGTGTGTGTGTGTGTGTGTGTGTGTGTGTGTGTGTGTTTGTGTGTGTGGGGAGAGAGAGAGAGAGAGAGAGAGCGCGCTCATGTACACCATTTGCCTACAAATGCTCAGGGAGGCCGGGAGGGTGTTGGATCTCCAGCAACTGGAATTACAGGTGGTTGTGAGCTGCTTGATTTGAGTTCTGGGAACCAATCCAGGTCCTCTGCAACAGCAGTAAGGTCTCTCTCTTACTTGCTCAACTTTCTCTCCAACCACCACAGTGATAAGCTTTAAATACAGAATCACTGGAGTTTTGAGCAAGCAAATGTCATCATCTTACTGATATTACAAGTAAGCCCAACTCTTATTTATACAGCAGCCAAGTTCTACTGGTTTGTGTGATTAAAAAAAAGACCACTGGAGGTAAGTTGGGGAGCTACTTCAATAGCCAACAGAGAGAGCCTGACCACATTAGGTAGGCTACGGTGTACTCATGAGGAACAGGTAGAGGCAGGAAATCCCTGGAAGCAGACAGCAGGACAATGAGAGAAGAGAAAGAATGGCCTGGAGGCTGAAAACCAATAATCAGACAAATCTGCTGGAAGGCTCCTCCTCCTCCTCAGTGTGGTCCAGCAGGCATAGATACAAAGCTCCTACAGTGACGAGTAAATACTTCAGAGTAAATGTATCACAAATTCAAAAACAGAGACTCTTAAAACTAGCTTATTGAATTAAGATTATAATTAAAATAGCTTTTATATTTTCAATACTGTGTATATATTAAAAACCTTTATATATACATATACATACATATTTACCATTCTTACAAGGTTTTGTTAAAAGTGGCCTAGTAGCAAAGTCCCAAGCAAAAAAGAAAATTAACAATTTTCTTTCTTTCTTTTGAGGGAGGGTTTCATGTGTCCCAGGCTGGCCTTGAATTCCCTATCCTTCCACCTCTATCTCTAAGTGCTGGGATCACAGGCATGTACCAACACATTTCACTACACTAACACCTTTTCTATACCATTCATTCCCATGTTATAGAATTTTTACTACTAACCTCCTAGGGGAAAATGTTGCTCTTTTAGAAATTAATTTTCAGTTATTCTGAAATAGTCCTTATGGATTCAAAACTTTGCCATTAAATGGAAAGATTTGGGGGGGGGCATACTTATTCGTTTTTGTACACTCAGAGCAAACTGCAACCTCAGACTTTGATGTTTGAGGCTCACCGTTAACATCAATTGTTACATACTCTCTAGTCAGTCACTTCCTCAGACTGCACGGTGTAAGGGGATTGGCTAGATTTCCACCAGACCCTCCATAGGCTGCTGGGTTCTCTGTTGTTTGCTTCTGTGCTTTCTACTTACTTCTGGCTCATGTCTTAATTTCTGGTTCCTCAGAACAGCATTTATTTTATCTATCAGGTATTCATTAAGTACTTATGTGCACAGGACCATATAATCAAAAGTAAAGTTGTTAAGTACACAAACACCAAGGAACCATGACCTTGCTATCCATAGACACACTTCCATATACTATTTCCCTGCTTTGGAAGAAATGAGTGTGCGATGCTAGTGTGGATGAGGAGAACACTGCAATGCACAGCATGCTGCCTGGGGAAGAGGTTAGAACTCTCTGGCCTACATCAAACTATTCCTTGAGCTCACAACCCTTCCCACTTCACCTCCATTCATTTGATACATATGCCAAATAGTATATTCTCCTCTAAACATTTTCTGAATTTACAGAAATCTGATGGACTCACTTGTCTTACTATGAATTCCCTCAACATTTCCTACTACTACTACTATTATTATATTTACTTATTAATAATCTCCAGCCAAGCGGTGGTGGCACATGCCTTTAATCCTAGCACTCAGGAGGCAGAGGCAGGTCTGGTCTAGAGTGAGTTCCAGGACAGCCAGAGTTGTTACACAGAGAAACCCAGTATTGAAAAACCAAAAAAAAAAAAAAAAAAAAAAAAAAAAAAAAAAAAAAATCTCCCTACTGATAGTTCAGATATCTCAGGTACCACACAATAGTGTTGCTGTGGAATAATTCTCTTGTACACTGTAAAGATTTGTCACTGGAATTGGTTTAATAAAATGCTGATTGGCCAGTTGCCAGGCAGGAAGTATAGGCGGGGGTGACCAAACTAAGAATGCTGGGGCCGGCGGTGGTGACGCACGCCTTTAATCCCAGTACTCAGGAGGCAGAGCCAGGCGGATCTCTGTGAGTTCAAGGCCAGCCTGGACTACAGAGTGAGATCCAGGAAAGGCGCAAAGCTACACAGAGAAACCCTGTCTCCAAAAACCAAAAACCAAAAAAAAAAAAAAAAAAAAAAAAGAATGCTGGGAAGAGGAAGGGTGGAGTCAGGAGTTGCCAGCCATATGCAGAGGAAGCAGGATGAGAATGTTGGACTGAGAAAAGGTACCAAGCCACTCATGGCTAAACATAGATAAGAATTATGGGTTAATTTAAGTCAGTAATAAGCCTGAGCTAATGGCTGAGTATTTATATGTAATATTAAGTCTCTGAGTCAATTATTTGGGAAATGGCTGCAGGGTATTTGGGAATTGCTGGCCAGACACAGAAACTTCTGCCTACACAGGGTATCTATCACAAGTAACAGTAATAGTAGAAGTTAGATAATGACAGTTGTTCATGGAAAATGCTGGTGAAAGTAGTAGGCACTGTTTTGAATGCTTTACATGTTTAACTTCACTTAACCCTCATGGCTATTTGAGGGAGACTGTCTATTGTTTTCATGTGAAAAACTAGCTAATAATCTGAAAAGCAGGGGAGTGGCAGGTGCTTGATCATGCATATCTAAAGTGAAACTGAAATAAATGTTTACAGAATGAAGACTCAGAGGAAGAGCCCCCAGAACCTGAGAACAGGATCCACTTAACCCAACTAATTTGTTATGTTGCTTTGTCATAACTGATACTCAGTTTCAATGACTGAACACTGAAAGAGCAAGGTTCCTCACTCACCTGTCTTATAAAGAAGTCCCCATGAATCAGAGAAACAATTCCAAAGTTTGTGTACTTGAAAATATGATCCATCAGCCACATCATCTGAGCAACAACCTGAAATATTTTAATGCAAGATATGGTTAATTCAGTGTTGGAGATAAGAAATTTGCTAAAGCGGGTGGTGGTGGCACACGCCTTTAATCCCAGCACTCAGGAGGCAGAGCCAGGCAGATCTCTGTAAGTTCGAGGCCAGCCTGGGCTACGGAGTGAGTTCCAGGAAAGGCGCAAAGCTACACAGAGAAACTCTGTCTCAAAAAAAACAAGAGAAAAGAAAAGAGAACAAAGAAATTTGCTACAATCCAGCCAAGTCTCCATATTTTCAATATAATCATCCAAGCATATTTTAAATTAATGATTAAATATATTTTTTACTCTTTTGACAATTTCTTGTGAAGTCTGCATTTTCTACCCCTCTAACTCTTCCCTACTCCCTCTGTAGTTCATGATCTCTTTAATTACTGTTACATATATACACATATGTATACATAAATCCAGCCTGCTGAGTTCATTTACTGCTGCAAATATTTTAAATCTAATGCTATTTCCACAAATTCAGCACAATTACTAATAGTTTACATGAAAAATTATAGCTCTTGATTCCTAGTGTTAGAACACTAAGTCATAAGTATACATAAAAAATGAGCCGGGCAGTGGTGGCGCACGCCTTTAATCCCAGCACTCGGGAGGCAGAGCCAGGCGGATCTCTGTGAGTTCAAGGCCAGCCTGGGCTACCAAGTGAGTCCCAGGAAAGGCACAAACCTACACAGAGAAACCCTGTCTCGAAAAACCAAAAAAAAAAAAAAAAAAAAAAAAAAAATGAAATTAAAGCTAGGCAGCGGTGGCCTTTAATCCCAGCACTCGGGAGGTAGAGGCAGATGAATTTCTGTGAGTTCAGGGCTGTTACACAGAGAAACTCTGTCTCAAAAAACAAAACAAGGCAATATAAAGGTCCAAAGAAAACATTATAGCTCCTGCCTTAATTTTTCAGTGAAATAATTATCACCTTTACTAGACTGAATTACTTAAAAAAGTAAAAAGCATATATGTGTGTGTGTATGTGTGTGTGTGACACAAGACACACACATACACACACAAAGCATAGGGACTGAGGAGACGGCTCAGTTCATAAAGTACCTGCCATGTGTGGTGGTCTGAATAAGAACGGCCCCCATAGGCTCATATATTTGAATGCTTAGTCATCAAGGAGTGGAACTGTTTGAAAGGATTAGAAGAATTAAGAGGTGTGGCCTTGTTGGAGGGAGTATGTCACTAGGGGTGGGCTTTGAGGTTTCAAAAACCCATGCCAGGCCTAGTCTCTCTCTGCTTATGGTTCAGGATACAACTCTCAGCTACAGCTACAGCACCTGCCTGCATGCCACCATGCTCCACCCCAATGATGATAATGGACCAAGCCTCTGAAAGTGTAAGCAAGTCCCCAGTTAATGCTATCTCTTAAAAAAGTTGCCTTGGTTGTGGTGTCTCTTTACAGCAACAGAACATGACTAAGACAACATGCAAGCATGAAGACTTTTGGTTCTTAAGCACTTATGTAAAAGTCAAGTGTGGAGGGTGTTTGTGCAGATAAGAGGATCCCTGGGGCTGGGCTGGTCAAATCTGTGAACTCCAGGTTCAGTGAGAGACCCTGTCTCACAAAGTAAAGTGGAGGGTAAATGAAGAAGATAGTTCATATCAACCTTTTCTGTCTGTCTGTCTGTCTGTCTCTTTCTCTGTCTCTCTGTGTCTCTGTCTCTGTCTCTGTCTCTCTCTCTCCTGCTCTGTGTGTGTGGGGGGGGCGTACACACGTGTGTGCACACATGTGGAGGTCAGAAGACAATTTTTAGGTGTCAGTTCTCTCCTTCTGTCATGTGGGTTCTGGGGATTGAACTCAGGTCATCAGGTATGGTGGTCTGAAAGAAAATGGCCCCCCTAAAGGGAGTGGCACTATTAGGAGGTGTGGAGTTGTTGGAGGAAGTGTGTCACTGTGGGGGTGGGCTTTGAGGTCTCCTATGCTCAAGCTACACTCAGTGTGACATACAGTTGCTTCTGCTGCCTGTAGATCAAAATATAGAGCTCTTAGCTCCTTCTCCAGCACCATGTCTACCAGCATACTGCCTCTAAACTATAAGCCAGCCCCTATTAAATATTTTCCTTTTTAAAACTTGCCATGGTCATGGTATCTCTTCACAGCAATAGAACCCTACTAAGATTTCAGGTCTGCAGCAAATGTCTTTACTCACTGAACCATCTCATCAGCCCCAAAGAGGTATTTTTAAACTGGTGTACAATTTGACAAGAGCCTTCTACCTTTGAATGAATATGAAGTAATCAATCAAATATTTCTTGACAATATAAACTAATATTGACTCATGCTTATAAAGCAAGAGGAAATAAAAACTATAAGAGTAGAAAAATGATATCTTATGAAATTAGTTTTAAAATGTGCTTGAATTCAAATTATTTGATAATATCAGAGAATTATACAAAATTACTCAGGGCACGCTAGAGAGATAGCTCAGTGGTTAAGAGTACTTGCTGCTCTTGTAGAGGACCCTATTGGATTCCCAGCAACCTTATCAGATGACTCATAGCTATCAGTCACTCTAGCTTCAGAGGATCAAACACCCTCTTCTGGCATCCACAGACACCGATACACATGTGACATACATTCACACAAACACATAAATGTACAAATAAAACAAATGTAAAAAATTACTCAGGACAGGCAATTAAATCTAAACAAATTAATTCATATCTTACAAAAGCAAACAAACCAACCTTCCTTTGGTCCACATGACTACCTAACATTAAGTTAATATTCAGTTATCATTCTCAACAAACTGGCATTAGAACACAGGCATATTTTATACTGATCATTTGAGTCACTCTTTGAGACTTATGATCACTTAAGCACATTATAAGCTTTCAAAATAATTGTTATAAATGTAATTACCATCATCAGTGAGACTAAAAAATGTTGGCTAATTGGATATTTGCCTTTAAATAGGGTTCCCCCCCACCCACAATTTTACATTATGAATTTAAGGGACCAACAATACATTTTATTGTAGGAACAAATGCATCTACTCAGGAGCAGTTTTTCTTTAACAATTTGAGATTCTGATTATAAGGAAGGATTAAATTTATTTCACATTCCAGCAAGGTTACACCCCTGCTTTTCAGATAAGAAAAACAGATTATGCAATAACCAAACATACTTTCTTTTAATTTCACCTCATTTTCTTACTTTATCTGGTGATTCAAAACTCTTTAAACCTTATGCTGATTCTTACCTTACCTCAGGTTTTGCCAAAACCATTTTACTAGAGGCAGCCTAACTAAATTCTACCTAACCCTGAAGGCCAAGAACATGTGCTCTTCTCTGCAGTGTCCTGTGTCCAGCAGGCACATGGTGAGCTCACCCTCAAACACAGGCTTTCATTCTGCAATTACACATTGTTATGATCTCATCTCTCACCTGGGAATGGACTGCTGGCTCCTGGAGAGAGAGACGGAGTCTTTACTTCTTTGTTGTTTTGTTTTGTTTTTTGAGACAGCGTGTCTCTACATAGACCTGGCTGCCCTGGAACTCGCTTTGTAGACCAGGCTGGCCTCAAACTCATCACAGAGATCCACCTGCCTCTGCCTCCCTAGTGCTGGGGGACTAAAGGCGTGCACCACCACAACTGTCGAGTCTTTACTTTTTATAGTCACTCATCATGACTATTAAGCAATCAATGAACATCTATTATTTGGCTTACTTAGTTTAGGGTCAAATACAAACTCCAATAATTTATACACAATTTAGTTTTCTAGAAACATAACTTCTTTAACATCTCAGGTAATAATTCTTTTAATGATAAAGGCCAAATATATTTTAAATGTACTTGATTTGTTTATTATTTTTAATTATTAATATAAGTAATATGAAATCAATAGTTCAAACACTGGTTTATCAACACTAGATACTATCCTAATTATTTTTAAAAATCTTTCAAAGTCTTTAAATTCCCTTCCTGGGGTGACTGAAAACTATATTTTTTCATATTAAATCTACATTTTTTGTTTTAAACAATGAGACACTTGAATCAGTGCTTCTAAGTTCATCCCTGCAGGCTATCTGCCTGAGGCACCAGAGATACTTACCGGTCCTTTGTCCTGTAGGCACATCATCAATGTACACACATCTCCAGTTGCCTGGTGGTTCACCAACATCACTGCTTCATCATTAGAGATTGCTTTAATATCTTCCCCCCATTCCATCACTGTAAGAATAAAACATTTCAAAGTGTCATTTTCAAGATTTTCATGTGACTAGAAACCTTTTATTAGGAAAAATGGTAAACATTAATGATGTCTTTTGAAAGTTTGGAACTAGGTTTATTTCCTATGAAAGTCACAATGTTGACTACATTTTAAGAGTCCCAAAATATCCATTAGAATATAAAATGATAATATTTTTATTTATCCTACATTATCCAAATAGTTAAAATTATAGGTCTAGAAGAGGTTTATTACAACTTAGATGTTCACCAGCAGAAAAATAGGTAAGAAAATTATGATAAGCCCACAGTGGTGGCACACGCCTTTAATCCCAGCACTTGGGAGGCAGAGGCAGGTGGATCTCTGTGAGTTGGAAGCCACTCTGCTTCCATCCAGGACAGCCAGAGCTTCACAGAGAAAGCTTGTCTTGAAAAGAAAAAAAAAAGAAAGGAAGATAGGAAGAAAAGAAAAGAAAAGAAAAAAGTAGAAAAAAAGAAAGAAAATAGAAAAGTATGATAAGATAAACATTCATGGAAAAAATTCAGAGTATTTTTACTTAAAAATCCTCCTAAGCATACTACCAACTTTTATTATGGTGTATCCATTTTAGTTACTTTGTAAGGTCTCTCACTCAGAACCTGCATCTCTAAGGCAGTTGACAGAAACTAAGACGTGCCATTCTTGTGGCTGGTCATGGAAACACGAATCTTCCCCACCTTTCTCTGGCCTTCCTTGTCTGGTAGACAAAAAGGCACTTCAGAAGAAGTCTTGGCACATATCTAGGGGAAGGAATGTGCACAGACAAACCTTGCCAGGTTTTACTACCCATCTTGCTAACATCTGGTATGCAATAAAGTCTCTTTGGAGTCACAAAAGGACTCAGCTATGACGGCTGGACATGGGGAAGTTCTCAGAGGGCTCTATGCTCTTTCCTCCAGACCTTGTCCTGTGTCTCTTTTCATCTGTATCCTTTGTAATATCCTCTATAATAAACTGGTAAATATGTTTTCCTGAGTTCTGTGAGTCTCTTGAGCAAATTAACTGACCCTGAAGACAGTTGTGGGGCTAATTTAGAGAAACCAGTCAGAAACACAGGTTAAAAACAACTGTGACAGGGGCCTGTGGGGGTAGGCAATCTTAGGGATTAACTGATCCCTTGACCTATAAGATTTGATGCTATTTCCATCAATAAAGGGCCTTGGAACTTGAATTAGGGAACACCTAGCTGGCTTCCATCAAAGATTGCTTTCTTGCTTAGTGTATGAAAGGAAAAAAACCCACCCATCAGGCATTAAAGGTGATTAGTGTTAAAAGAATACAGTAGGAAAAACTAAGCTAGAGATGCTTTATGGCTCTGGAAATGGACCCCAGGCTTTCTGTATGTTATGGAGTACTTTATCACTGAGCTACATCTCCCAGTTCCGTGAGTTTCAGGAATAAAATTGTGTGTTACTTAACACATTGAATTCCAGACTTACTAACTAACACCAGTTATCATTGGATGATTCCTAGACTCTTTCATTTTTACTGTACCAGAAACTATCTGAATATTTCAAAACTATATATTTTCATTTTTAAAGAAGAAACAAATTCAATTAGTTTAAAACATCTGGGTGGAAAACCACTGCATCAAAAACTACTTGTATATTCCAAGGAAGAGTGGGTTCACAGAAAGAAATGCAACTGAGCATCAGTTTTTAAGCATCAGGATTGTACAGAGAAGCTTCTATGCTCCTCAAATGCTTGCTGTAAATTGCCAGGGACTGACTGCTCACTTTCACCCTATCTTCATCCCAGGACCTCACCCCTGCAGTGGGTCACAATCTCTGGATGACACAGGGTGAGGAGGCCTGAGGCATTCCCTAACTTTTTCTCACCCCTTACTGTTACCCCAGTACACTAGAGCTTCTTATAGTATGATGGGCTTCTTCATATGGGTTCATTTGAGGAAAGGGGGCTATTGATTTTTTTTCTCCTATTGAAACCAGTCAAGCAAGGCATCTTTCCTTTTATATTAGCAAACTTAAAACTCCACGCTAAAGAAATTTCCAACAGAGTAAACATATACCAAGCTATGGTACTCACTGAATTAAGATGTTACAATTATTCTATCAGATGCTATCATACATATAAAACTAGCCTAGTGTCTATGATTAAATGTTTTTATTTAAAAACTTTAAATGAATGCTCTATAGAAGCTTCATCATGAGATGATGCCATTTGTTCCTTAGGGAGAGAGGCAGAACCCCAGAGAGCCCAGCCTCTTGCAGACTGCAGTAGCACTATAGTTCCCAACTCAACCCAGGTGACACGTTCACTTTACTGATACATAGTCAATAGCTAATACATTGCTGGGGGAAGTAGACATGGGTGCATGTTATTTGTATGGATGTGTACACTTGAGTGCACATGTGTGTGTGCATGTCTGGTGTGTGTGTGTGTGCGCGCGCGCGTGCGCGCACGCACATACATGCACACATTCATTGGGTGTCCTCCTTGATCATTTCCTACTTTAATTACTGAGGTAAGGTCTCTCCCTAAATCTGGAGCTCTCTAATTCCAGCTAGTCTAACTAGCCATCTTGTCCCAGGGACTCCTTTGCTTGCTGAGTTCTGGGATTACAGAAGCAATTACATCTGTCTGGCTTTTTACATGGATTCTAGAGATCTTAACTCTAGTTCTCCTGCTTGATCAGGAAGTGCTTTATCCACTGAACCATCTCCCCAGCTTGGTACTCTTTAAAAGACAAGACACTCATGTGGTGGTCTGAGTAAGAATGGCCCCCACAGGCGCATATATTTGAATGCTTAGTCTGTGGTGATATTGTGTCCCCCAATATACTGTGCACCTTAGTAAACTTATCTGGGGTCAGAGAACAGAACAGTCACTAGATAGACATAGAGGCCAGAAAATGGTGGCACACACACCTTTAATCCTAGCATTCCGGAAGTAGAGATCCATCTGGATCTCTGGAAGTTCAAAGCCACAATGGAAACAGTCAGACATGGTGACACACACCTTTAATTCCAGGAAGTGATGACAGGAAGCAGAAAGGTATATAAGGTGTGAGGACCAGGAGTTGTTTTTTTTTTTTTTAAAGCTTTTAGGCTTTTAGCAGCAGTACAGCCGAGATCCATTCGGATGAGGACTCAGAGGCTTCTAGTTTCTTGGGAATGCAGACCCAGGCTACCATAGCCTCCATTTTTTTAATTTTTTCTAGCATCTACCAATAATTTAATTTTATTATAAATCTGCTACTCTGAAATCTAAAACCCAAAACAGGTCTCTAAGAAACAATTTGAAAAGCACTAGCAGACAGAAAAACAAAAATCAAATCAAACAAAACAAAACAAAACACCTACAGGCACAAAATGAATGATAAAGAAATGTCACAAGGCTAGCAGTGCAAGCCAGTCAACCTCAGCATCAGGGAGGCTGAGAAAGAATGGACTCTCCAGGTTCCAGTCCAGCCTGGGCTACATAGTGAAACCCTGTATAAGAGAATATAGTTTTATGGTATAAACCTGTAGTCAAGGGGCTGGAGAGATGACTCAGCAGTTAAGAGCACTGGCTGCTCTTCCAGAGAATCCAAGTTTAACTCCCAGCACCCACATGGCAGCTCACAACTGTCTATAACTCCAGTTCCAGGGGATGTGACACCTTCACACCAATGCACATAAAATAGATTTAACTAAATTATTAAAACAAACAAACCTGAAGTCAAGCCCTTGGGAAGTGGATTCAGGAGGATCAGGATCACCCTCTATTACATACTGAGTAAATGGCTAGCCTGGGTACGGTAACCTCTCACGGTTATAATTACTATCTCTGGTGGACAGAAGGATCTGCTTAGACATGAGGCAGAAATCCGTGAGTTGGGCCCCTGTGGGGTGTTACCCTGTCGGGTCTACAGAGTCCCAGGCTACAGACTCAGAAACTCTCAGTCTGATTTGTCATCAGCCACATCATTTCTATCCAATGCCAGCTGTACTGGTACTGGGGTGTTGAATCAGTGACCCAGAGTCTCCGGAATGCCTCCAACATTTTGGTGAATTCAGTATAGCCAGGGGAAGGCAAGGGGACGACAGGCTGGAGTGGTCCCATGAGGCGACCCACTGGGTGGCAGAGTCAGCAATTGTGCTCACTGTTGGTAGAGGACTCTGAAGGATTGATGGATTGAACCTAGACAGCCAGCTTTGTGGCTGGCAGCAGTGGGACTTGTGGAAAACAAGACAGGCTGTTGTGTGGGATAGAACGGTGCAGGGGTCTCAACTTGCTCCTCCTTCAGGTCAACTCTGGCAGCCAGAACTTTTCTGGCTTTGAGGTCTAGGTATGGCTCTGTTTTGAAGTGTTTTCTAGCTCCTAGTGCTGTCCACAGCTGTATTCCTGGTCATGAAGACCCAGGGTACAGGGCTGGAAATGCCTAGAAGTTTCTATCTGGACTGTAGCTCAGTTCAGGTGTTCTGCCTCCAATTCTTTAAGAGTACACTATGGGGCTGGAGAGATGGCTCAGTGGTTAAGAGACTTGCTGCTCTTGCAGAGGACCTAAGTTTAATTCCCAGCTCCTGCATCAGGCAGCTCACAACCATTTGTATCTCCAGTTTCAGGGAATCTGGTATTTTCTTCTGGCTTCCACAGGCACCTGCACATATGTGGTGCATATACAGGCAAGCAGACATGAACATGCACAAAGTTGTTTTGTTTTGTATAATGACGTTTCAGCCAATCATGGGTCATATATATGATGGAAGATCAGTGGTTCTCAAGCTGTGGGCCACAACCCCTTTGGCAAACTTCTGTCTCCAAATATATTTACATTACGATTCCCAGCATCCACATGGCAGCTCACAACTGTAACTATCTGTAACTACAGTTCTAGGGGACCTGACACCCTTACACAGGCAAAACACCAATGCACATAGTTTTTTATTTTTGAGTTTTTAAAAACTTAATAAATAACACATGAATGTCAATAATTTTTTTTTGGGGGGGGAGTTTGAGA